CTGCAGATGCAGCTGTAGTATGGAGGGAGCACTGCAATGTCCAGCTGATAATATTTAGAGCTATCCACTTCAATGTGTGTGTATATAGTTCTCCCCACTTCCTGGATCTTTTCCTTTTCTAGATCTGCCTATGTATAGACACCTGTAGAACAACCAGAAAGCAGACATTGAACTTGTAAAGTTAATTGCTAACAGTGAAGAATGAAAGTCCCTGGTCTTCTACCTGTATAGCAGCAAATGGACCAGGGTTAAGTAGCGGATCATCATATAAGTGGCTGCCCCTGGAGTTGTAACCTCTGACCTTGGCTGTAGCCCAAATCAATGAAAGCTGTAACTTGCCAAATTGGTTCTCTAACGGGATTAGGGACCCTCTTATCACACAGTGTGTGATAATCCTGTCAGTAATTAGACTAATAGAGGCAGTCCCTGCAGGGAGTTTTTTCGTACAGCAGTGGAAACAGAAGCAAAGTAGTTTACAAACCCAGCTACATGCTGCCCATAGTCATATACCTGCAAAGTGCCTAAATCTATCACTAGGTACTTTACTACTATGTACTTTAAGGTTTTTAGAAGTCAGGGAGGGGTTCCGTTCCCATATAAAACACACAGACTGCTGTCAGTACTAAGCAAAAACTAGATGAATTGAATAGATATTCAACAATGTCTTGCATGTTTTTGTCCACATACAGTATGTTAGGTCCTATACGAAATACAGCAACCCGTCCCTAATCTATCCTCCTGCGTGTGTTTTAAAACACAAATATCCCATTGGATAGACTCAGATCCCAGCATGCCTTTTACTGCAATCATTGAACACTTAATTACAAAATGCCAGCTTAGTGATTATTAATTAATTCTAATACCAAAAGCAGGAAGTCAACCTACATTCAGTGGCTCTATTTTTTTTTATATAAACCACTAAAGACCCCATTTCATTAGCATCTTTTTTTTCGTGTTTCCATTCGTCCTAGTTACAAAAGTCAGTTTCTTATTCAAGTTTTCCCATCTTTTTCACCATGTTACGCATAGTATTTTAGACCACTTATCCAGATTTATAAACTGGATTTTTTGGGTGCAGTTTAGGTTCAGTGAGTTTGCCAGTATTTTTTTTCCACTTTCAGAGTGGTAAACTGAAGTACTGCACTCTAGAAACGTTTAAACACATACACAGGAGATTTTTGGACCCATATAAGACACCATACATTTGACAAATGCACTTTGATTCTACCACCTTCTATAATGGTGCTGCACATTCTGTCCAGCAATGAGGCCTGGCACTGTTCCCTGTGTTACTGAAAGAGGGAGAACATGAAGCAGTGGTCTCCACTTCCTGTCTTGATCTCTAGTTTTCCTGTTTTGCAGAAAATTCCTCACTAGTGTCTTTGGTATGCAATTATAAGATATCGGATTTTGGAGTCAGTTTCTCATTTATCAAGTTTGGCATAATTACAATTGTCGCTTTATAAATAGGTAGAAAAATAAAAAATCTGGTGATATTTGAAGAGGTTCTTGGGGAGGGAATTTTGAGTTATTATATATGTATATCAGAGGTAAATTCTTTGGCGTGGCACGCCTGTGCTCAAGTCTGTTGCTGTCCTAAAACATTAGTTTTGGTTTTTGAGTCAGATCTCACAAACTGCCAATTTTTACTTCACTGGCTGCATCTTTGTAAATAGCTACATCAGCAGTCTTCTGCTTTCATTTAAAGAGCAATGCAAATGCTAGACAAACTGTAAAAATAAAAAGCATAAAATTCATCTGTCTCAGTAGTGTTTTAACCACTTCAAGACCAGGTGTTTAGACCCCCTTCCTGGCCAGGCCATTTTTCAGTATTCAGCGCTGCGGTACTTTGACTGACGTTTATTCCGTCATGCAGCGCTGTACTGAAATGAATTTTATACCATTTTTTGGGCACAGATAGAGCTTTATTTCGGTGGTATTTAATCAATACTTAGTATTTAGTCAAGTCGGGTAAATAGACACCAAACATGTCAAGCTTTAAAATTGCGCGCACCCGCGAAATCGCAGAAAATTACCGTACCCAAAATTGGCCATGGGCGACGCTTTAAAAGCTTTTACCGCTCATCAGTTTAGTGTTATCAGTGATTGATGGCCCTACAATTATTGCTCTCACTCCGACGTTCGCGGCGATATGTAACATGTGCGGCGTAATGGGCGCAATAGCCTGGGAGTAAAAAGGCAACATTCTTACATCTGACTGTTCCACTTTCAATGCTGAAATATGTTTTACTTTACCTAGATACGCATGCAATTATAAATACCACATGCATAAATGTATCATATTAAACCATGTGTACATCTACAGAGTGGCACCTGTCCCATATATTACATCTAAAATAATTTGTGGACAGTGCCAGCTGCTCAGGTGGAAGTAACGCTCGCTGTGTGTGCGCTGTTGGGTGGTGCTCAGTCGTGCTGTGTTTGCCTGTCTGAATGCTGAATGCCCCCGTAGTGGATGTGCTGTGCAGGGCAGGCAGCGCTGTCACCTCCGCTTTGTCCATGGCGCGCTGATTACCCTCTTTTTTCCTGCCCGAGCTCCGCTTTGCGAATGCTATCAAGGTCAGAGTCAGTCGCTCAGAAAAATAAAATTAGAATCCCCCCTGCCTCCCACAAACTGGGCTGTGCCTCCCTCCCCTGAAGTGCTTCACTGGGTACATCTCCAGGAGAAAGGACATGTATTGCTTTACATAGACACAGCTCAAAAATATTCAAAGAGCAGCATATAAGTGAAGGATGAGCTCTGAACAGCTCACAGTCTTCACATAATAAATGTATGCAGAGAGGAGTAGAAATATTTTTATATAGATCAACAAGCTGTAATCAATTAATAATCCCGTGAGACGTCCTCTTCTTCTGCATTGGAATCTCTGATTATTTTGGTGCTGCTAAATAGGAGAATGCCTACAGACTAGTTAAATAATTCCCGGTATGGTGTCAATAAAAGGGAGAGATTCCTAAGTAACCTAGATCATTTTAGATGTCATTCACTACTAGTTCTATCCGAACCATCTCTTCTGCAGCAATCAGCTGGAGGAAAAATGGATCTGGGATCCAGATATTCAGGTTGGCTCTGGAATACGTCTATAGTAATTTTTGTGTCAATGCCAATTGTAGTTACAAATCTTAGGCCATAGAACAGTAACAGCCACAGACCTCCTTGTACATATGCACTATTAAACAGTCAACTCCATTTCCATATCAGTACTCAGTCTGAGTATATCTAACAATCACTGGGATCAATCCAAATTGTTCAGAATACCAACAGTTATGTTATTCCTGTCTCATCAGGTTATTAGCATATAAAGCCACCTTGACAACAATCACATATCAACAAAACTTGGCACACATAGAATGATACCGATCTAGGCAGATTTCATCTTAGGTTTTCAAATAGTAATAGAGACAGCTACCATTGTTTCACACTATATCAGAATATATACAATGCTGACAGATTCCCTGCAGTAGTTGTAATACTACAGTAACACAGGCCAAATCTTTTTCATAAGTAATAATAATTTAAAGTGAGTCCTACTGCGTTCTCCTGAATGACTTCTACATAACTGAAATGGTCAGAGAGTATGTTTTATTTCTTGTGGTATCTCGAACATTACAAACATGTCTGTGTCGCGTTCACAGAGGAGGGGGGCATAGAAAGGGTCATTACTTCTGCCAAGGTGCCTTCTGTGACCTGCCCGCCAGGGTCTCCTTCCAGGACACTGGAAATAGTGACAAACCCCATCACCCCGCATTAAGCACCTATCCGTAATCCCCCTAATTCCAGGGAGCTGCAAGTGCATCAGCTAAAGGGCACAATGTCTGACTGACTGATGCCGAAGGGACAGTTTCTACCCAAGGCTGTCACATCCTGCAGACCTTCTTCCAATCTATCAACCTTTTCTAATCCCCAACATGGAGTGTAAGAAGTGAATTGGAACACTAGGTGGCACTGTAGCACTGTAGCGCACAGTCCTCTTGGTTCCTGAGCTAGACAATAAGCACACAAGCTTGCTTTGAGCTTGTTTCATTCCAATAGCTCACTCTCTCTAAGTGGTGATAGTGGTATCCCCATCACTGAATTGTGCTAGTTTAATACAGTTTTCTAAATACATTTTGTTCTATTTCTGGTGGAAACTAAATTTACTTTTCCTGGAAGAGTATCTGATCTCTGGATAAAACTTCTCTACCAGATCACAAGATTACTTTTTTGCCTTTTTTTTTTTTATAGTTTCCTGCATTGCAACATGAGTGATCCAGTGAATAGCACTCAGCTCACGTATTCAAATAAGCTTAACAATTTAAATTACCACAGAGAGCTTGGATCAATAAAAGCACTAAAGCAGTAGATATCCCTTGAAACACAAAAGCCTAAATAGCCCTAATTCCCTACATTAAAAAAAAAGTATTATGTTGCATTGTATGCGTGACAATTACAAGGCTTTTTAAACAATAAACCGTTGTTACATATTAATCTAATTATTATAAATATAAATACCTGAATTGAAAATGGTGGTACAATAAGCACATAGCCAGCCATATGTGGATTTTTGTATTCTATAAGTTTGACATTGGAGCTTATACTGATTGGGCCAATCCTGGCCGATGTGACCCTAAACTAACCAATCTGCTATAATCAGCCTGTGTAAGAGCAGCTTAAAACCAACATCTAAAAATATCTGCATTGTAATTCATTTATCTCTCATTTTTGGAGATACTACTGAAATAACGTGACAAGATCTGTTGTGATTCAAGTTTCTTGCAGCTTGACATGACTGGCAGAGAAGTCCCTGAGGTGACAGAGATATGCTGTACAATACTATATACTGTACTAGCTCTGTCACTAGACTGCAGTCCGCCTGTCGTCACCATCTCATGTCTCAGCCTCACCAGTCAGCTATGGCAATAGGTGTACATTACTCATGGAGAGACGTTGGGCACTTAAAAAGTTCAGGCGTGTCACCAATAATCTAAGCTTTCCTTACCCGCACAGCTTGGCTGTAGGGCCCAATGTTAGCGGGGGCCCAGTGGGAGATGCTCTGAACATGCATGGCTATCTTCTCTACAGTGAAGTCATCCCTGCAAACGACAGGCAGCCAGAAGAGAACATCCATCTTAAAGAGAGTGTCCTGGGGTAGACAACACTGCACACATACTCTGGAATGCCAAGAAAGAATCATTATTCTATTATATAACTGGTCAAGATTTAAAACATTTTATAAACAGTTTATCAACTATTATTACAGATCAAATAAGGAACTGGGAAACAGCTCTCAGCTAATACGTAATAAGCAATGCAATGACAGCCTATATAAAAAGAAACCTGCCATGAGAGAAACACAAAGACTGCTATTGCTGATCTCTCGTTCTGTAAATGTGTGTTGCTTTGTTCTCTTGGTGCAATACATTGAATTACTGACACAGATCAAGTAACCTAAGAACTTTCTAGGACTCTAATCTCTGATCTGCAAAACTGTTTTGGATCAGTGACTCAGAAACCTATGGTCACAATAAAAGCCAGTCAATTAGCATTTTCATAAGGTGAACAGTAAAGACAGTTGCTGCTCGTCTCCAATGACAGGTTTAGGTTAAAGTGACACTAAACGCAGGAGTTAAATCTTAAAAAATGCATTGAAGTACCCCAACTACTAACAAAAATGTATCTTATTTGTGTACATCTCAGCTGTAGACCCTCAAATCATCTCTGAATTGGTGCTGACACTGTCCTTCCTTCTGGAGGGTGGCTACTTTTGTTCCCCATGGTCCGTGTGTGTGTTGTAAAGTAGCCACCGCTCCAAGCTCACTCCCAAGAAACATTAAGCTTTTTTTCTTTAGAACAGAAAAATGTAGGTGTATGCAACAAAGTTTGTTAAAATTCCTGCAATGTAAAATATATTGATCACCCAGAGGTGAATTTCTTTTTTGCAACAAAAGCCCATTCACACCCATGCCTCTGTTACTGTGCATTTTTTGGTGTGTTGACACTTGTTACGTTAAGATAGCAAAATTACTTTGAATGGGACCTTGAAGAGCCTAAAACACTTTTAAAGCCACACATAACACTACTTTTTGGAAACACAGCACACATAGAGAAGTCACATCTGTGCATTTTAGCATAGGTGCCTTGGGATGTCATATGATTTATGTAGGGATGCACCGAAATTTCGGCCGCAGAAACATATGGGCCAAAAATGGCAATTTTGGCAAAATACCGAAAGTGCCATCTTTCAGCTGAAATTGTGCTGCATACCTGGTTTCTCTCCTCCCCGATGGGTGCTGCTCTGTGTCCCCTCTGACACAGCGCAGCATCCAGTAGTGAGGAGAGAAACTGTGACAGGAGGCCGAGAGGTGCGGGGGAGGAGATGGATGTGAGTGGCCATTGTCTATCCTCCGGCACCGCTCAGCCTCCTGTGACAGATTAGGAGAGCGGGAACTTGTAAAATTTTTAGAACATAGTGGGGGAAATTTAACAATACTGGAGCAGACAAAATCTGGAGCAGCTGTGCATGGCAACCAATCAGCTTCTCTCTTCAGTTTGTTCCGTTCATTTTTGAAAATGAGGTATGATTATGGACATGGTAAACATACTATCTCCACAAGTTATGAATGAACAGGAGCATGATGAATATGATGAATATAGAGGCTTCCTGTTCATTTATAACTGGTGCTGCAGAAAAAGAAATTGAGGGCTCTGTGTTCTCAATCTCTTTTTCTATTTTAAAAGGTAAATACCAGGGCTTTAGACCCCTGATATTTAACCGAAGCCCGCATACCTGTAATGTAAAAAAATTTAAATATCAAATAAAAATAAATACAATATTTTTAAAAATTTTACAATTTTTCTTGGTTTTGGGCCTGACATTTTCTTTTATTTTCAGTTTTGAAAATGTAATTTCGGGGCACCTCTAGTTTTATGTCACGTTACATCAACCAGATGAATGTGACTCCATCCTAAAACCTGTTCCTGACCTTTCAATGAGAAAAGAGGTCTCAGCTGCATATATTTATAAATGTAAGTGGGAACTACACACTGCTCTAAATGTGCCTCCACCAGTGTGGTCCTAATCTATTATTAAACACTGGGGTATGCATAGCAATGAAAAATATTAAAACAGAACACCAGGTCACAAAAACAGTAAAAAAAAAAACAGCACTGAAAGCACAACTCCAGGCCTGCTGGAGTATAGCAAGATGTACAGCAACTTTTCTAAAAACATATCTGCCATATTCATGGGTTCATCTCCCCGCAAATAATCAGTATACCTGCGGTTGAAAGACCAGCTCCTGCTGAACTTCCGTGCCCACTCTGGCTGTAGCTGCAAGTCTCAAAGACCTCAGCGATGCAGTCGTTCACTTTTCCGTCTGGCCAATTTCAAAACAGATCTAGGGGCCATTTGCTTTGTGATTTGTCAGGAGGAGAGGGGAACAGAGATGCAGCCGCAACATTGAGGTCTATGAGACCTGCATCTACAGCCAGAGCAGGCACCGAAGTTCAGCAGGAGCTTGACTTCCACCTGCATGTATACTGATAATTTGCTGAGAAGAAGCCAGTACTGAAAATGGCAGGTGTGTTTTTAGAAAAGGTACCCCTTAATGTACTCCGGTAAGATTATTGTGCACATAGCTGGGATTTAACATAAATAAAAGTGCATCTTTTACTACAATACTCACTTTCAGTCCAGTGCTGTCCCTTCCAAAAGGTCCACTTCTCTAACAGATGTCACTACTCCTCAGGGGTGAATAACTGCCAGCCCATTCAACTCGCTTCGGGTGAGCCCAGAGAAACCCTCTAAGGGTACGTCATCTCACTGGCCTGGGTTCACAGTACTACCACACTGATGTGTACTTGTGGGTCATTAAAGCATCATTTAATGCAGGAGTAAGGACCCAGTATTACTTCACTGAACTGTGCTCATGGGTCATTACAGCGCCATTGAATGCAGGAGTAAGGACTGCCCAGTGCTGGAGAAAAAAAACCCTCCTGGAAATA